AACTCTGCAGCTCTGCGGATAACCAGAACTAAGAAGAGAGAACACATTAGTCCAGTTTTAGCTGCTCTTTACTGGATTCCTGTTTACTTTAGGATTGATTTGAAGGTCCTCCTCCTGACATATAAGGCCCTTAATGGGCAAGGACCAAGCTATATTGCTAACTCCCTTGTCAGCCACAAGCCGTTCCTCTGCTGCTGGTTTGTTAGAGGTTCCCAGAAACAGCCGCAAAAAGACGTTTGGTGATGCAGCTTTCGTTAATTATGCCCCAAAGCTATGGAACAAAATACCTAGAGACATCAGGGATGCCTGCTCAGTGGAAGTCTTTGAAAAAAATACAATTTAGCCTTTTAGGAAGCAAACTCCTGCTCTCTGCTGCACTTTCTCAATGAACTCTGATGCATTTTGACCTGTCACCTGATTGTGTGTTGCACTATCCTCCTTTTATGGGACCTATCATGCAAAATGCACTTTTTGATGTCTTTCATACATAAATATGTGTCCCCGGTGTGTCAGGGATGTTTTGTATCTTGCAGACAGGTTACGAAAAATCATTTATTTCAATACACTTAGATCTGATTTTCATTTCTTAAATTATGGCTTTCAGAAATAACAAAAGAAATGTGTTTTATGTTAAATATATTATTTTAATGACTATCCTAGGTCTCATCCAGAATGATGAAACTCAGTGTTTTCCTTCTCATGCTCCTCATGGAGACGTGCTCTGCCTCCACTTATCGTGAGTATGAATCGTTTATATAAGACGTTTTCCCTATAAAACATAACAGGGAAGTGAACGTAAGGCTGTCCATTAGCAAGAAAAGCAGGTTTATACAAATTAAGTTTAATTGTCTAGATCAGTGGTTCCCAACCTTTTTTGTCTCGTTTACCCCTTGAGCTGGTCTCCATTCTATAAGAGCCCCCTCACTCATCTGTGATGATGCACATACATTGTTTCTTGTTAAACCCTTTACTAATCGTATTTAACCAAACTGCTCCCTAGTTGATAAGTCACCCTTAATACAAATGCATTTAATCTTGACCTTTACACTTATTCTAGCAGTTTCAACATCTTTTGTTAAGACTAGAGCTTTTAAAGAGAGACTCGACCTTGCTTATCTTTCGTAAACTTTGACAACCCCTGGTTGGGAACCACTGGTCTAGATTATAGCTTTAGCTCCAAAAAAAAGAGTTATGTAATGCATGAAATATTGTAATCTCACTGCTCACATTAGATACTGTATGTTTTGCTGCTCCAATAACTAGTTATTGTTATTGTGGTAATACTGTTTGAATGTAACTGTGAACACATCGCCATGTAAGAAATCCCAGCAAAGCGACACAAACAAATACAGAAAACACATTCAATCTCCAATTCATCAGCAGGTGTTCAGCGTTTGGAAATAAAACACTGCATAGACATTACAACACTGATAAACATCTTTATCAAGTTGGCAACACGTGCATGCTAAGGCAACATGCAGCAAATTCAGAAAGCGTAACCCAACTCACAATGGAATAGTTTTTAATGATCACCGTTCACAGATCTAACATCAAGTCATCATTTACTTTCTGAGAAACGTGCAGCATTTCTCTGTTTGTAGTTTGTGTTTTTTCTATTTTCTGTTTTCTTTAGTTGTTGTGCGTTGAATATTCAGGACCAGTTATCTGTTGGAATACTAATGTAGCTTAAACCATTTTCCAATGTGTGTATTATAATTATATATCGAACTGTCTCTTTTCTAGAAAACGTGGCGTTGCGTGGAAAAGCGACCCAATCAAACCGTTTAGAGAGCATATTTGGATCTGCCATCAACGCTATTGATGGAAACAATGACAATAAGTTCGATTCTGGATCGTGCACCCACACTGATGCAGAAAGCAACCCCTGGTGGAGAGTGGACCTGCTGGAGCCCTACATCGTCACTTCCGTCATCATCTCCAACAGAGGAGACTGCTGTTCAGACAGGCTTCAGGGGGCACAGGTCCACATCGGCAACTCTTTAGTCGACAATGGTGCAGCAAACCCAGTGTAAGACATTTCCTGCACACATTTTATTCATTTGTTTTGTGCAACTGTCTGAGCATTTTGTTTATCTTCTCCTCTCCCCTGTTAATTGCGCACCACCAGTAGACAGAGGTGTATTACGATTTCTTTACTTGAGTAAAAGTACAGATACCCTAGTTTCAAAATATTTCATTACAAGGAAAATTCCTGCATTCAAAATGTTTCAAAAAGTACAAAAGTATTATCAGCAAAATGTACTTAATGATTAAATGTACATATGTATGTGACATTTCTAGATATATTCATGCATTAAGAAGCATTTTACAAGTTTAATTGTATTTATATGATTTGACTGTTTTGTGACTTAAAGAGTTCGTCCCCTAGTTGAATTGTTAGAGATACATTTAGTTAAAAGTAGCTAAAGCTGTTTAATGAATGTACTGGAATAAAATTACATTGTTTCCGTATTTAAATGTAGAGGAATAGGAGTAGAAAGTAGAATGAAATGGAAATACTCAAGTTAAGTACAAGTACCTCAAAACTGTAAATGTACTACCCACCTCTGCCAGTAGATTCTCATAGAAACTGTTCCTAAATGTTTCAACTATGTCATTTTACTTATTTGCTTATCAAAAATAGAGGCAATGCTGAAGTGCGTTAAACTTGCATCGTCTTTCATATCTCGCAGTGGGTGCCCCCCTGATTGCAAAAAGGAGTCAGATTGTATAGAAGTCTATGATGAAATTACCAGTTACCTTTTATCTAACTGTTGAAGCCTTAGGGGTATAACATGTCATTCATGTTCTTCTTTCTTTCTCACTTTTGTTCTCTTTCTTTTAGGGTTGGTACAATTTCTACAGTAGAGGCATTGTACACTCTGACTTTCACTGATCGTGTGGAGGGACGCTATGTGACTGTGCGTATACCGGGTAATGGAAAGATCCTTAGCCTCTGTGAGGTGGAAGTCTACGGGTACCATGCCCCAACTGGTGAGGGTTTGGGATCTTACATAAATAATGTGTGATGAAAAGTCTATAACATTTTTTTCCTGCAACTCACTTGATGTATTACCGCTGGAAAGAGTGTACCCATTAGTTTATGATCTCAATTGTTTGTTTCAAGTCTTCTTCAATCCAGCATGATGTTCAAGTTGTAAAATATGGTCCCATTAATATGAAAAAGAGAAAGGATGTACCAGCCTTTCATGTCACTTATGATTACTAAAACAGGTCTTATTTTATTTCAAGTTTAATTTTCCAAAACTGAATGACACATTTAGTTAGTTAGTTAGTTACTTAGTGCAGTTGTAGTTCTATATAACTTTAACTATAGACTCAATATATTATAGACTACAGTTTAATGTACTTTACTTTAATTCCTATGTTCCAATAACAAATAACAATATGGTAGTTATTTGTTTATATATGGTGGGGTTATCCCTTTTATGTCCTTCATCCTGACGGCAAATTAAATCAAATCTTTTGAGAGTCATGGTGAAACAGTATAATAAAAAACAATCTGCATCAGGAGTCATACATGTTATTGATTTAACCTAAATCTTTGTTTTGTTTTTTTGTTGCAGAAGAGAACCTGGCCATTCAAGGAAAAGCCACACAGTCATCAGTGTATCAGGCTGCCGATGCATATAAGGCCATTGATGGGAATCGGTCCCCCACGTCGTCTTCGGCTGACGGTTCCTGCAGTTCCACAGCCCATGAATTGAACCCCTGGTGGAGGCTGGCTCTGCCCAAAACACACAAAGTGTTTTCTGTTAAGATAACCAACCGAAATGAAGCCCCCCAACTACTCGATGGAGCCGAGATCCGCATTGGAGATTCTCTTGTAAACAATGGTGCTGACAATCCCAGGTAACTTACAGCATGTCCTATAACAATACTAATATTAAAAAGTCACTAAATTGGTATTTTGTTGGAACACGTTTGAGGAACAATTATTCAGTTTTTCTCTCTCAAGTTTACCTGGTGACATTTTGGATTAAAACTCCTTACATTGCCAAGAAATAGGATTGGAGCGGGAATACCCTTCATTTATGAATGATTCCTGCAATGTGTTCTGATCTGATCACAGAAATGGACAAATACCAAGGTCGCCAAATGAAAGGCCTGATCGAGGGTCGTCAATTGTGATTCTGTGACATGATTTGAAAACATTTATTTAAACATTACTGAAATATAAATATTGTTCATTATCAAGCCCTAATTAAAAGATCTGCAACCAACATTCTAACAAAATAAAGCGTAGAAACCTAATGACGCTTTGAGTGCATGTTGAACTTAAAATGAAAAGCCTATTACTTCAGTAAACCCTTCCTGAGGTTAATGTAGTGATTTCTGCTTCTTCTACAGGTTTGCTGTAATCGACAGCATCGCGGCAGGTCAAACTACTGAGTTCGAGGTTCCCAACGGGATGGACGGCCGCTATGTTTACATAGGTATCCCTGGCAGACAGGAGTACCTGATCCTCTGTGAGGTGGAGGTGTTTGGCTCTGCACTGGATTAGCATTCAATGTAATGGATTTGCAAAGATGCTGTAATGTGTACACAAAGCATCCAAAATAAAATGTGCATCTTAAATGTAATTGTTTGCATGACGTCAAGATTTACTGGTGGAGATTGCAACAAAAGTCTGCCTTGACTTTTGCTTTTACACAGGACTTGTACACCTTCTGCGAATGTGCTTGTCTTATGTCATAAGAAAACAATCATAAATCAATCATTTAAAACCATTGAAAGCAATGGTTCTGAAGGCAAGTTTTTTATTTTTTTAAATACAGATAAAATAGACAAATATTATAAAACACATCTGAAAGCTTTCTTACCCAAAGTTAGATCAGAAGATCAATCCCCATCAAGTGAGTGGTATCTTGATAAGTGAATTGCCACAGACAATATTAAAATTCAAACAACTAATGTATGTCTGGAGGCCCAAACAAAGACCAGTTTCCTCTGTATGCCTGAGCCGTTTATGTGTTTTTCTGTAGAAAGCATTAATAACAAGACTTCCTTTGGCAAAAAATACAATAAGAAAGAAAGATAACCTTTTTAAGGCCGTACAGTTGTATTTCACAACAAATGTGGGTATTTTTTGTTGTTCTGACAGGGCACAGTTAGAGGCAGTCTACTTGTTTTGCCATAAAAAACACAACTCTTTCTGTCATTTTATAACTGGATTAGGAATGAAAGTTTGCCTCCTGAAAGCTGAATGATATGCAGTTAAAATTGTATTTCAAAGCTTCCAAACATGGGAACATCATTTTCCAAAGACTCTTTAAACACTGCTGGCCTCTAAAGAAACATTTCAACAACTTTTGCATTAAAATACTTACACACAAATACATTATAAAAATAATTTTGTCAAGTTTGCAAATTGTATTGCTTCACAGTATGTGGACATCAATGATTGGGCCTGCCAGACAAAAAAGTCAAAGAAAATAAATTCCTAACATTAAGAAATAATACTGATGTATGAACAGCATGTCTTTGAAAACACAGTTTCTGAAAGTAAAGATTCTATATGACAGAACCAAGGGAACAATAAAAAGCTAGGAAACCTTTTGGCGTAATGGAAACATTGCTGTATGAAAACAATGCAACAGTAAAGATGGCAACAGTCCACAGATACTGAGAAGTCAGGGCGAAATGTCCAACCGCTCAGTGACTCAGAGCACCGCAAAGAGGGGGAACTGTTGGGCTTCGAGTAAAAAGCAGCAATGTCAGTGACTGATCAAAACCTAGTGAAAGATCAACAGGTGCTGAACTAGTCCATCTCACGGTGTTATCTGAGATCTTTGGAGACTTTAAGAACTTTGTAGATGTCGTTGGAGAAGACTGTGGTGAAGTGGGGTCGTGAGCTTCTGGACATGTGGGTGCAAAGGGGACCTTTACCAACGTTTTGGGAATCCTCAATGTCCCAGATCTCTGGCATGCTGCACCCGGGCCTGAGCAAAGAGAAAGGAAGACAAGGTTAATGAGAATGACACACTATTTGTCCTGAAATTCAAGTCAATTTAGATTTTTTAAATGATTATATATGATATATATACATAACCATGTCCTAAAATGCACACATGAGTAGTTACAGTACCATCAAATACAGAACAGAGGGTGCCATGATTTAACCATACAGAAACACTCTTTCCAGCACCAGTTAAAGAGGCCCTATTATGCTTGTAGGGGGTTCCCCTCTTCTGTAGTGTGATATATAGGTTTTTGTGCCACATTAGAGGAGATAGAACTATGAACCTGAACATTTGCATAATATTTCCTCTTTAGTGCAAAATAAAGTTTAACCCCAGATCAAATGCAATGTAAATACTGTTATATTATATTTGACTATATATTTTGTATTATTCTAAATATTTTTCTAGTTCTCTTCCTCTGTTTTTAATTCTTGTTTTTATGCACCACGACACCAATTCAGATTCCTCATATGTGTAACCTACCTGGTAATAAACCTGTTTCTGAAATATTATCTTCTGTGATTGTAATGTTTGTTGAGTCTCTGAACACTTTCCTTAAATCTTATTCTTTGTTGATGTTGCAGGAAAGATTCCAGACTTTATCTTGCAATACAGTGTTATCATATTATAAAATAAAATATGACAGAAAACAGGTTGAAAAGTCCCCCTTCCTGTGAGAGGGCTCTGGTGGTGTGGAGGTACCTGGTTCTCCGGGTGCACCAGGAATCCTCCAGGACGAAGAAGTCCACCCCCAGCGTCACCAGGTTCCCCTTCACTGTGTCTGCAGACATGCGGCTGTACATGGAGTACACCAGCTTGGTTCTCTCCCTGCGAGGAGCACAATAAAGCATTGATACGGTGCACAAGTTGGAGAACAACTACATGCAAAGTAAAGCAGTACAGAGGTGCAAGTCAATTGTGAAGTCACTTTGTTACCAGTTAAAGTGCTGCATTTTAAATCGTGCTTCAGTAAAGGTGCAAAAGTAAAATGACTATTTAAGCGTAATGGCCCATTTCTGAATAATATATATCAATTACTGTATTTATTTCTGAATCTAGCAATGTGGCGTATCTTTAGTATCCTTTAGTTGAAAGTGTTTTTTCCTTCATCGTTTAACCCTCCTGTTGTCTTCGGGTCAAATCTGACGGATTTACTACTTTCATCAATCATAACTTTTTTGTTTTACATTCGATTGCATTAAGGCTTTATGATATCCTTCACAGTAGACATTTGAACATACACAATTGCTGATCACCACTTTCATTGAATTTTAGATGATTTAGTCAACTTTGTAACACCCATGGTGTTCCCGGTCAAAAATGACCGCCATGAAGAAAAGGAATTAGTAACCATCCGGATCAGATAAAACACACACACACACACACACACACACACACACATACACCCACACGCATGCACACACATACTCTAGATGTGTCCCCCCCCCTTATGTGCCCATCCCCCCATGTGAATCACACCTGACACAAACACACATACACACACAGAAATATTTGACACATTTCCCGCTCTTATGTGCCCACATGGATCACACCTGGCACACGCAATACATGTTCAGTGTCTATTCTTTGTATATTTACTAGGGCTGTCAGTAGATTAAAATATTTAATCGCTATTAATCGCATGATGTCCATTGTTAATCGCAAATTAATCGCACATTTTTTATCTGTTCTAAATGTACCTTAGAGGAATATTTTTCAAGTTTTTAATACTCGTATCAACATATGAGTGGACAAATATGCTTTATGCAAATGTTTGTTTATTATCATTAAACAAGCAATAGCAAGCAGCTATTGTCTGAGATCGCATGATGTAGTATTGTTAGATGTGCCAAGAGCAAGGACTGTCTTAGGTAAGACAGCTTTTATGTGCGCAGCTCCACTTGCTTGGAACAATCTTCAGCAAGAATTGAACTGACATTGAATTGACACATTTTAATGCAAAAGATCAAATGTTATTGTATTTTTATAGAACTAAATATGTAATAAAGCTACAATAAATATTTGTTTTCTTTATTGTAATTTTTATTGTATTTTTTGTATTTGTATAATTATTATTTTTACATTATTATTATTTTATTATTTTAAGTATTCATTTAAAAAAGTATTAATTTTGTTTATTAATTTATTAATTTATTTTTTATTATAATTGTTGTCATTTTAATTAATATTAATTTATTATTATTGTATTTATTATTTTGTATTTTATTTTAAAGATACTTTAGTATAGTTTTATGTCGTTTCTTTCAATTAAATAAACCAAACAAGGGAAGTGATAAAGGTATAACCTAAAATACGTATTCAAAAAAATGTAGGTGTGTTTTTTGTTTGTCTTTCTTTTCCTTTTCACTGTAACTAAATACTACAGTGCTAAATGTCTCATAAGAACCACCAGTACTGGATACAAACGGTAGTTTAGTTCACTTTTATTGATAAGTCAAATGTTTGAAATGTATTTATTAGGATAAACCCCTTGAGATCATGCACCAGCTAGTTTTCAAGGGGGTCCCGACAAAAGCAACCCATGACCTGAGGAGGGAGAGGAGACACACACTGACAGGCTGACGTGTACACACACACACACACACACACACACACACACACACACACACACACACACACACACACACACACACACACACACACACACACACACACACACACCCACACACACACACACACACACACACACAACTCAGGACAGCAACCTGTAATTAAAGCCGTAAAGTGCTGTAGAGTTGGGAACGACCAAAGAGGGCTGTGAACTGTTCAAACATTTAACATTGTTTAGCTTTATTGTTCATTTAAATGAGAAACAAACTAACTGAAATTCATAATTTGAAAAATGATTGATTCGAAAATAATATGCTACAGTACAGTACAAGTACTTCTGGTTTTCAGTCACTCTAGTGGCCGGTCAGTGCTTTGTTCAGACTGAAATATCTTAACTACTCCCAGATGTATTTTGGTGAAATTTGCTCCAGCCCAGTATATACCAAGTACCAAGGCTTCGTCATGTCTTCTACCAATGCTCGAGGTACCCTCGACACATTGGGTTTTCAAGTAACTTCGCCAATTAGACGCTCAGAGCAAGTGCTGGTGGTGACGTAGAATAAGGGGGGAAAAAACAACACCGGAGTTTTACCCAAGAGACTGCGGTTTGTGTCCCATGCAGGGGCGGACTGGCCATCTGTGTGTTCTGGAGAATCACAAAACGGCCGGTCGTCAGCGGGCCGTTGACGGCTGGCTCGGTTCGCTGACGGCCGGCACCGCGACAGAGGTCCACAGTTTCGCCGCAGCGGGGCTCCCCCCGCCCTCCTGTTGACAGTTCACGAGCGTGCTCTACCAATTTGTGTGGGCTCTGGGCTGGGTTAGAGTCCAGGGGTGATTTTCAGTCCCAGTCCGCCCCTGGTCCCATGTGAAACTCAACATGTTGTTGTCATTGAATTTTTACTGTTTAATCTTACACACCAGGGTTTAATGCAACTGTAGTGTAGGGTCATAGTTTGATGCGCTGAGTCCTCACAAATGCCATTTTCATCAGTCTCAGCTGTATTTGTGTTGAGAGTATATCTACATATACTGTTTCATTCAGCTTTTTACGCTTCTTTTGGTATATTGCTTTTGGTTTATGTGGGACTTCAATTGTTGGTTTAATATTATTGCTATCATAGTGTTGCTTTGGCTGCTTAACAAAGAAAAACCTCAGATATCCCAGACTGTACGCTAGGTGCTCACCACCAAAGTACAGACACACACACTTAATAACTAGCCAGTGAACACAGTGGAGCGTTGGAGCAGCTGAGAGCAAGATATTTCCATCACGCGGAGACCAGTACAGAGTTCATCAGGTGGCCAAAGGATGATGAAAAAGACAAATGTTTGCTTGCATGTTTGCCATAACAACCTTGTGAGGTGATCATTTCAAAGTCCTGTATTTGCAATGTTTGTTCTGCTGCCCCAATGTGGCCGACAGTGCACTTTGTTAAAGCAACAAAACCAACCTTAATTGAACTCAACAAAGTCATTTCTGCTTCTTCTGCCAGGTGTGCTGTGATCACAAGTATCCCTGCAGGTGGTGCCGGTGCGTTTGATTGTAAGGGGTCAACATAGTCATCCCAGGACTGGAGGAGTTCCTGAGTCTGTGTGAGGTGGAGGTGTACGGCTCTCGTCTGGATTAAGTGAAGAACTGGAGAAGTTCACAATGCAAAAGAAAACCAAAAATCACTTCTTTCTAAAATAATCTCCTAATGACATTGATTTCATTTTGAGAATGTTTAGAGCCCTACTTGCTTACATATTATACCAGGGGTATTCAACAAAAATTCAACGAGGTCCAGTTAGAGAAAATCTCCCCATGCAAAGGTCCGGAGCATCAAAATGTCTATCTTGCTTTATGAATTAGTGTGATATATATTGAAGTAGCCTGTAGCTTTATCAACGTCTGCATGTAATCAACAGCTGACTGCCAATCAAATAAAGAAAGTACAATTCATAAACAACAATATTTATTATCAATTAACATTGAACTATACAGATATAAAGTAAAGTACTGTGGATATGTGTAATGTTCCTCTGCATTTAAAAATAAAATAGAGAAAATAAATAAAATAGCTTTTGAAAATGTGTGCATCTTAAAAGTGCTTGATTTTAGATAAATAAAATAAAGTGTAGCAGCAGCTTGAGTTTCCTTTTTTCTTTGTTAACCGTTTCACATCATGACTTAACAGTTTCAGCCGATTATAGAACAATATCAGTCTTTACACATCATAACAATTGAACAGTTTTGAAGTTTCTCTTTCTGTCGCTCTTATATTGAAGTCCCTCACTCACTTTTGTTTTGTTCAGTGCGAGAAATGAGCTCGAGCTTGTCCTGCCAGGATTTTAAATCTGGGCTGAAATGGTGTCAGGGCCATTCTCATACACACATGCAGGTGCTCATTGGTTAGCCTGGAACGATATTTAGTTTTATTATTTTGATCCTGGTGGACTGATCATATTGGGCTCTGAGACTGTTTATTTGACCTCAGTTCTGACTTGAGAGGGAATGTTTGGTCAAACACTTTGTGTTTTGTCTCATAGTGGCATTTCACATTGGCACATTTAATGTCTTTCATTTTTTTAAAGCACGTTGAATTGCCTTGTGTTGAAAGGTGCTATATAAATAAACTTGCCTTGCCTTACTCCTCCACATTTATTTAATACCTTTAGTTATTTTACAGATTTGGATGAATGATGTGAAATATAATCAAGTGTTAAATCAGACTTTAGTTCCACCTGGAGTAAATTCACAAGCTACCCTGCAGTATACAAAGTCATTCAAACTAGCTGCACCTTTACCAGCTTTGAGAACACTTTGATGATCAATCATTATAAAACATATCATATATATTATTCTGAAATGGACCAATCTGCACAATGACTACTTTTACTTTTAGTACATTCATTATATTTTGAAGCTAATACTTTTTCTACTTTTACTTGAGTAACATTTTGCATGCAGGACTTTTACTGTAACTGAGTATTCCTACACTCTGGTACTTCTGCTTTTACTTAAGTACAAGATCTGAGTAATTCTACTTTTACTCAAGTAGAAGATCTGAGTACTTTTCCCACCTCTGCACACAGCATCATATAAACATATATTTCTCTTGCATTTGTACCTATGAGACAATATATACATAATATATTATATATATCAATGTGATAAACTAAATCCTAGTTGAATGAAACTGTTGGATCAGTGCAGTTATTTCTCTGTGATTAAAGCAATGGTTGCGCAAACCTGAATTTACGGGAATGTTTCATCAGTGTGTCCTTAGATGACTACTGGAACCTTGATCTGCTGACTGGAACTGGGTTCATGTGCCTGGGAGTATACTACATGGTATTAAGTGATTGGATGCTGATCATGATTATTGATTGACTTTGGGGGAAGATATCATACAAATAGCTCAGCTTTAAGGGCTATTATCTACAGACACTTCTTGAAGTTCTGAGATCAAGTAACTTCGACTCAGAGTTATTTTGTTGGGACAAAACCTCTATTCTCACAGGGAATCAGGGTAAGCATTTCAATTCTCATTCCTACTATTTTATTTAAAAATCTTGTATGTTTCAAACATTTTGTAATAATATTAATGTTTTGCAGCGGTGGAAGAAATATTCGGCTCCTTTACTTAGGTAAAAGTACTGATACTGCAATGTAAATTACTCCATTGCAAGGAAAATACTGCATTGAGAATGATACTTAAGTAAATGTTTTTAAGTATGATATATAAAAAGAAATCTAAATCCAAACAAATTTTCACATTTGAAAAGCTAGAACTGTGAAAAATGTTTACACCCAAAACTGTATTAAACAATTAGTAAAAGCAAAAACAGAAATTCTGGTTAATAATCTGGGGAGATTTACTCCTGGGATCAAACCGGAGGTCACAAGTAATGTAATGCACTTTTCAGTGACCTCCCGAAAAAACGACTGACAGACTTCAGCTCATCCAAAACTCTGCAGCTCTGCGGATAACCAGAACTAAGAAGAGAGAACACATTAGTCCAGTTTTAGCTGCTCTTTACTGGATTCCTGTTTACTTTAGGATTGATTTGAAGGTCCCCCTCCTGACATATAAGGCCCTTAATGGGCAAGGACCTAGCTATATTGCTAACTCCCTTGTCAGCCACAAGCCGTCAAGAACACTGCGTTCCTCTGCTGCTGGTTTGTTAGAGGTTCCCAGAAACAGCCGCAAAAAGACGTTTGGTGATGCAGCTTTCGTTAATTATGCCCCAAAGCTATGGAACAAAATACCTAGAGACATCAGGGATGCCTGCTCAGTGGAAGTCTTTGAAAAAAAAAATACAATTTAGCCTTTTAGGAAGCAAACTCCTCTCTCTGCTGCACTTTCTCAATGAACTCTGATGCATTTTGACCTGTCACCTGATTGTGTGTTGCACTATCCTCCTTTTATGGGACCTATCGTGCAAAATGCACTTTCTGATGTCTTTCATACATAAATATGTGTCCCCGGTGTGTCAGGGATGTTTTGTATCTTGCAGACAGGTTACGAAAAATCATTTATTTCAATACACTTAGATCTGATTTTCATTTCTTAAATTATGGCTTTCAGAAATAACAAAGAAATGTGTTTTATGTTAAATATATTATTTTAATGACTATCCTAGGTCTCATCCAGAATGATGAAACTCAGTGTTTTCCTTCTCATGCTCCTCATGGAGACGTGCTCTGCCTCCACTTATCGTGAGTATGAATCGTTTATATAAGACGTTTTCCCTATAAAACATAACAGGGAAGTGAATGTAAGGCTGTCCATTAGCAAGAAAAGCAGGTTTATACAAATTAAGTTTAATTGTCTAGATCAGTGGTTCCCAACCTTTTTTGTCTCGTTTACCCCTTGAGCTGGTCTCCATTCTATAAGAGCCCCCTCACTCATCTGTGATGATGCACATACATTGTTTCTTGTTAAACCCTTTACTAATCGTATTTAACCAAACTGCTCCCTAGTTGATAAGTCACCCTTAATACAAATGCATTTAATCTTGACCTTTACACTTATTCTAGCAGTTTCAACATCTTTTGTTGAGACTAGAGCTTTTAAAGAGAGACTCGACCTTGCTTATCTTTCGTAAACTTTGACAACCCCTGGTTGGGAACCACTGGTCTAGATTATAGCTTTAGCTCCAAAAAAAAGAGTTATGTAATGCATGAAATATTGTAATCTCACTGCTCACATTAGATACTGTATGTTTTGCTGCTCCAATAACTAGTTATTGTTATTGTGGTAATACTGTTTGAATGTAACTGTGAACACATCGCCATGTAAGAAATCCCAGCAAAGCGACACAAACAAATACAGAAAACACATTCAATCTCCAATTCATCAGCACGTGTTCAGCGTTTGGAAATAAAACACTGCATAAACATTAAAACACTGATAAACATCTTCATCAAGTTGGCAACACGAAAAACGCAAATTCAGAAAGCGTAACCCAACTCACAATGGAATAGTTTTTAATGATCACCGTTCACAGATCTAACATCAAGTCATCATTTACTTTCTGAGAAACGTGCAGCATGTCTCTGTTTGTAGTTTGTGTTTTTTCTATTTTCTTTAGTTGTTGTGCGTTGAATATTCAGGACCAGTTATCTGTTGGAATACTAATGTAGCTTAAACCATTTTCC